TTTAGAAGCTTCCTAGTTGGTAGAAGTTGTTGAGAAGCTTCCTAAATAGGAGTATATATTGGGATCGAGGCTGAAGAGTTCTTCAGTCTCGACAACACATCTCTTGGAGCTCTAGCTCACCTCTATGGTGTTGTTCTTGTATTCATCTGATTAATCTAGTTCTTGTTAGTTCTTCTTGAACTTCTTGGTAGATATCAAGTCTGTATTCTGTGTCCGTGACAATAGGCTAAATTATTCAAAATCTTGCATTACCATAAAATCTTGCATAAAATCTCTTAATTTTAGTAGTTTATGAAATAAAATATTCATTAAGTTTATATTAGTATCTAATTTAGATTCAATAGAGTTAACTATACTAACATCTTTACTTATAGCTATCTTAAAAAAAAAGGGGGGGGAAATTTTAAAATAATACCAATTTAAAGGAGAGTAATCTGTAATCTTTAAAATACTTAGATATCTTTAAGAAGAGAGATAATTTACTCTCTATAAAAAAAGATTAAGCTCTAGTATTGATAAGAAGGTAGTCTTGAAAAATTGTCATAGATATATTATACAAAAGACCAAATAACGAGTTGAATAGAAAAAAATTTACAAGAAAGCTTACATAAATTTGATTAAATCAGATGAATATAAAATCAACACCAAAAGAAGTGAGCTAAAGCTTTTAGTGACATGTTATTGAAATTGTGAAACCCTTTAGCCTCAATTTTAATATATACAAGTTATTAAAATCCTTCTTGAAATTTTTTTTATATTTTTTGGAGATGAAACAACCATAGGATCTTTATTAGATAACTTCTTTAATCTTTCGAAAACTTTCTAAAATTTACTAGAATATTTTTATTATTTTGTAATATTTTATTGAAATATTTTAAAAACCTTTTAGAACTTTTTATTAAAATATTCTTAAAATCTTTTTAATTCTTTTAAAATTTAATAGAATATTTTAAAAATATTCTTATAATTTTTTTATTAGATGTCTATAAAATACAACATTGCACACAAAGAAAGTATAAAAGAAGATGATTCTTACTTCCAACACCTGTTATTTATAAGTGATATTTGCTGCATTTAACAACTTCTATCTTTTGACGAATACATTCATCTAAAGATATATCAGATATATTTTTTGGTATCTTATCAAGTACAATAACATATCCTTAGCATATTTTTTATGCTTTTAGAATCCTTTGGCTAACTTATCTACCTCATAAATATCCTATAGTATATACTTTATATTCTTATTTAATCTTTGAATATTTCCTATTTGATTGTTGATCTTTTTTGCTTTAATTTTTAGCCTTTGACTTTATTCTTTATTAATAGGATGTATTTCCATATAATATTTTTTTTTTTTTGAGTATTAGTTACTTACTTAAGATAATATCTTCTATAAAGTAATTTATTATACTTTTTCTTTTACTGAATTATTTTAATAAATATAATAAGATACAATATAAGATTGATTGCTAAAAGCTTTTTACAAGTTTTTGATATTGTTTCCAATAAGACATATGCTTTTGTGTTCAAAATTATAATTATTATTGTGATTGTGATAATTAAAATAGTAGTGAATTAAAGTAAATTTATAAAAATAAAAATTAAATTAGTATCTATCTAGAAGATATTACCTAAGATAAATTGCTATTGATTAATTCATTAGTTTTTGTTATATAAAAAGCCTAATTTATAGATAAGCCATGAAATCAAAGGCTATAAGGCAAAATCAAGGAGATAAAAGAATTATTCAGAAATATCTAAAGATTAAGTGATAATATAAAGTATATATCATAGGATATTTTTGTGGTAGGCAAGATGTCAAAGGATCCTAGAGACATAAAATATATACTAAAATATATCTTTAAATTACATGAAATGCTAAAAGATATACTTGATTTTTTTTTATTAATATAAAGGTCATAAGATGCAAATTATGTTCTAGGTATCAACCACCACCTATAAGTAAAAGATGTTGAAAGTAAGCCATCTTATTCCACACTTCTTGTTGTATGAAATATTGTTGATGCTATCTATTGAAACTCCTAAAATATATTTTTTTAATAAAATAAACTTAAGAATACATCAAATGGATGTAACGATGGTTTTTTTGAATAGAAGTTGGAAGAAGACATCTTTGTAGTCTTATTTTAAGAATTTATTGAAAAAGACAAATAAAATCTTATTTATAAGTTGGAAAAATCTTTATATTGCTACAAGCAATCACTAAAGACATAGTTCAATTATATCCATACAATCTTTGTGAATAAATGACTTATAAAGAATAACGCCGATTATTCTATTTATGTAATAAAATCTTATAAATTCTTATTAATTGTAATTATCTCTATTGATGATTTAGTTATTTTAATCAATACTTTGATGATATTGAATTCTTTAAAAAAAGGTTTAAAATAGAATATGAAATAAATGATTTGAAAGAGTTTCAATATTATTGTAGAGAAGATTTTATAAGAGATTACACCAAGAATACCATTACAATGAGCTAATGCAAGTACATTAAAGTAATATTGAATAGATTGAATATAGATTAGAGCAAGATAATTGAAACACCTTTAGAGGTTAATTTAAAGTTGACAAAGTATGTGAAAGAATTCACAATGGATTTTATTTTTTAAATTTAAAAATATATATATATATATATATATATATATATATATATATATATATATCTTTATTACAGATTTTAAAGTTATTTATTTGTTATAAATATAAATTACATTCTATAACTATATACACACTATATTTATAAATAAGTTTTTATATAATGTATACCACCTCCATTGTGAACCTTATAATTATTAGTTTTTTCTTGTAATTCCAAGAAATTACTTCCATTACATAAAAAAATACATGTCCTATTATTAACCTTCTATTATTTTTATTTCTAGTCCAATTCACATTATAATATCTATACAAAGCAATATTGTCTTTTCCAAAGCACAAATTAAAGTGCATGCAATCAATTCAAATGTCTTCTTTTTAGGACATTTGTAGTCCTTTTTCTCTTTTATATGAGCATTTATGCTTGGAAGCTCTTCACTTTCATCTACAATATCCAAAAGATCCAAAGGAACTAACAAAAGATCCATTTTTGCCTTCTATAGGTAGAAGTTCTCACCTCTAAACTTTTCAATTGCTCTCAAGCCTTCACTCTCACTTTAAGCTATGTCTAAGGGAGAGATGTATCAAAAAAGATCAAGAAAAATAGTCCTAAAGCTCTCAAAATCAGCAAGAAGGTGTTGTTGCCTTACAATCTCAAAATGCCCTCTTTGTAAATAAATTAGTATTTTTACTCTCAAAACACTTTTAATTTCACTTTTAGGACCTTCCATAAGTCCAATGAATTAAATAAACGTCTCAAACCAAATTTATCACTCTTATATCACTTTTATGCTTACAAATCACTTTTAAGTTCCATAAGAGGTCTTTTAAGTACCTTAAGCTTCTTCAAGACATAAAACTACAAAGTTACTCCACCAAAGATCTTACTTAGTAAGTAAATACAATACTAGTATTCTATAACATTACTATAAGGTTTTTATCGAATCCTAAATCCAAGATACACTTAACAACAAGTAAGTGCAAACAAAGATCTAAATCTAGATCAAAATTTGAAAGTTAGGAGTTTCAAAATGCTAACATCAGCAACAACAATATGATCTACTCCACACAACAACAAAGACTCAATATAACTTCAAAAAATTCATAAGAAAATATAAGTGGGTCCATAACTTATTGAAAAAAAAGAAGTTAGAAGCTACAACATTTAACATCAGCAAGGTTATAACCAAGAGAAGTGCACATTAAGATGACTCTCACTTTCAACACTCTTTACTTATAGCTGAAGTTTATATCTATTATAGATGAACTTCATCTATAATTGCTTTCATCCTTCTTTACTATATTCAACTAAATTTTAGATTCTTCTTGACCTAATTGCCACCTAAAATTCTAGTCACTACCATAATAATTTGTTTTAAACTTTTGTTATCTTTTGACTATTAGCAACTTATTATGGTTTATTTCTATGTCGTAGAAATTATATAAGATCTTATTGATCTTCAATAGATGCATGATTTTGACATGAAATATTGTACATCAAACACATATTCCTTGATTAGTTCACAAAAACATTAGTAAAGGATAGACATCAGATGTTGACAAAGGCTTTAGGTTTAAAAGCCTTTGGCAAATAGCAAAATAGAAGTATTAAAGTAAGTAAGTAAAAAAAATAGATAAAATAACAATTTTAAGGACATTACTTTAGATAAGTTTTTGTAGTCAAAAGATTGGATTTTGTGATATAAAAAAGCCATCATATGGACCAACTACAAGATCAAAGATAAATAGATAAGATTAAATAGATAATATATATACTAAGAAATATCTAAAAGATAAGAAAGAATGTAAGTATATACCATAGAATATTCTTATAATAAATAATATTTTAAAGATATATTTTATAAATATTTTGATAAAATTAAAAGAAAGAATAGAAGTTGTCTATGAAGGCATTAACCACCATCTATTAGTAAAGAGTCTTAGAAATATTAGTTATCTTACTCTACATTTCTTTTTCTATGCAACCTTGGTAGAGCTAAGTATTGAGACTTTTAACTTCTTCTTTTTCATCAAATATGAAAACAATTTTTTTTAATAGAGAATTAAAAGAAAACATTTATATTGATAAGCTCCAAGGATTTGTGCAACAAATCAAAAAACACCTTGTATGTAAGTTGATTTTTTTTTTGTAAGAATGAAAATTGAATTACAACTAATTTCTTAAACTCCTATGACTTTGGACTTTAGATGAGGTAGTTTAAGAATAATTTGTATTCAAATTTGTATTTGAAAATTTCCAACAATTTTTAAAATTCTAAAATATGTTTGATTTTTTAAAAATATTTGGTATGATTTTTTTTTGATAATATCCATACTTTTTTAAAATTTACTCACCTTCATTCACAAAAGTGTGATAAATCCAATTGGAAACAAGCTTTTGATCGAAGTAAGTTTTACAGTCATTATTAAAACAAATCAAGGACCTTTAGATCGGATTACTATGTCTATTACCATTAGCTATCAAAATTTGAGTGCAAATGTTACAACTGATATCAAAAAGAACTTAATTCATCTTGCTCTTGGAGCTTGGAACTTCGATCTAGTAAAAAAGTGGCCATGGATTCTCCAAAATGCCCTTTAACAATTCATATACTAAAATCTTCTAAGCCATCTGCCGGCATTCCTAAGGAGCAGTGCCTGTGACAGTACGGTGTCGTGGATTTGTCATAATTGAATTGACATTCATGAACCCAATCTTCTCCATTTCACCTTCCAAGTCAAAAGTGAAGTACTCATCCATCCAGGGCTCCGTAGACTTCATTAGAGTAAATATTGCAGGTGGCAAATTCTGTACACCAATTTCAAAACAAGACACGAGACATCAAAATTCAACCGTTTAAACCTCACAAAGAATCAGAAGGTCCATTGTCGCCACAATCAACAGACAGAGGATCTTATGCAGTCAAACTTGGATTTTAACCAAATTCAATTTGCTTGAAGCTTCAGAATACTAGCAGATACAGTATGAGTGATACGGGATCCTTCCAACACTTGAAATCGGTCAAACAACTTTAAGTGCCACATTGGAAAGGATATACACACCTGAAGGACCTTCGATTTGGGCTGAAGTGATCGCACATCAACCAAGAAAAATTGGAAATGTCAATACAAACAACCAAAAGATTCTTACATTGTAAAAAGAGCAGTTTACTAATGGGAAATAGCTAAAATTGTATCAAAGATTGAAGATTTTGTCATACCGAGTTGTCAGTTAGCGACACGGTTCCTCCGGGTTTCAATAATCTGAGAGCCTCCTTCAGTAAACCTCTAATAGCATGTTGAGGACATTCATGAATCTATTTTCATATCAACCACAAACACTGAATGAATAAGGTGAGGGATTCAGCACCCGTCTGAACTATTGATCATATGGCTTACATGAATTAACATTGCACCTTACATCCAATTATCCTAAATTCCAGTATCAACAAATTATTTCACTTCTTACAAGACCTAACTTCACAAGCATAAATATCTACGCTGAGTACAGTAAACAATGTTTTGGAAATACCCCATCGACGAAATGACAAGACAACATAACACAAGTACAAATAGATGCGCATAAAAGATTACCACGAAGGCAAGCGAAACCACATCAAAAGATGAACTTGGCAAGCCCGTGCACTCTCCATTTGCATGTACCCAACTTATTGGTCTGCGTCTTCCAAGCCCGCTGGAGATCCTCTGTTTCTCCATGTATTGAGCCACAGCTAAAAAGTAGGGCGACAAATCTAGACCCTGAAGCCAAAGAATTGTGCCAATTTTGACTAGGAGGGTTATGGGTATACATTCCTACACCAGAAAGTTCACATTGACAGCACCAATATAGTTGAAAATCGTAAGTAAATTTCCCTCAAGTGAATGCTGTGCTCACAAATCACTACAGGCATCCCTATAGGTACTCACTGTGACATGAGCATCAGGAAACCAGTCAGCCAGTTCCCGTGTACTGTCGCCAATAGAGCAGCCGATATCAAGAACTGAAGAGACTCCTTGCCCACCGGAATACATCTGATGATGACTGCTGATTGCCTGCACAATACATTCTCAAGAACTTTGTAAAAACTGTTTTACAAATACTACGCAAAAGCATTCAAAATAAATCAGACGTTTACTTTAACAGCTCTCAAATACTCTCAAACACCAGACATTAGCATTAAATGTCCTCACGAATACCGATTTCGACATTTCGGACTTTAAATATGTAGGTTACCTGGAAAGCCACATTTCGCAAACATAATGTCCTTATTAATAAAACTTTCAGATAAAGGCACCAAAATTTGATTCTATGATTTTATTATTGCATTTGGTAAAAGTGCATTGAGTACAAGTCCGAAAATTTCTAAATACCGCACCTGCAACCAGGCGCTGCGCAGTACTTGAGTAGCCTCGGCCGCAGATTTAGCAGTAGGAGTAGTACGGAGCATCATGCTCAGTGTTGCCGGTGCAACCTCGCTGGCAGCCTGAAGGCAAAACATCACTTTCATCATCATTTACATTCTACATGCTAATGACCATCGGTTGCCTGCACCTCCCAAATTTAGAAACATAGCTTCTGCGGGTTCTACATAAATTATCAAAAGTCATAAGAGTATGCAAGAATTGTATCCCGCAAAAAGAAGGTATCACGGCCCTACCTCCCACGATAGATTGCCCTCCTCATAAGCATGAAACTCCTTTAAATAATCTGAGATGCAGGAAACCTTCTTTGTAAAAATTGTTTCTCTAGAAGGTCATCCATGTGGAATCAACTTCCAGTATAAAGATTTCGCTATTTATGATTTAAAGTAAAATAAATAAATAAATCTGACCTCAGGCCAGAGGCGGAAATTAATGATATAGAGAACTGACACTAAACTTACAATCAGGATACACCAGGGACTTGTTCTCAAGCAACTCCTTCTCCACATAAACATCTGACGCCAGAATTTCGTTCGCCATCCCCCTCCAGTCGACGCCATTTTTCTCGGCAGTCCTGCATTGCCACGAGCTCCGATAACCCCTACCTCCAGCGGACTAGAAAAAATATACACGTTTTTCCCGACAACTAAGACACAGTGAATTGGAAAAGACGGGAGGAGAAAGAACCTGATGAAGACCTGGCGGGCAACAAGCTTCATGACATCAAACAGGGGCTTAATGGCTATGAGCGAGCTGACGAAGCGTGAGAGAGGGTCATTGCCGGTATATCGAGGACGGTCCAGGTCTCCTTCAACATTAGACTGCAGAGGAGGGGGAAGAGGAGATGGGAGCGCACGCACTCGCACAGAAGCGGTGCGGATAGATTGTACGGCGGTAGTAGAGGAGAGAAATGAGAAGAAAGGGCGCGCTAACCCCTCCATAGCCACAAGTGAACAACTGCAACAGTAGACAGCTCTGTTAAGGCATGCGAGCGCTGGAGTGGAGGAAGGAATAGAATGCTGGGGCAATTATGTAATTAAAATACAGAGCACCACTGCGCATAATGGAAATTCAAGAACAGCAATGCATATCAATAACAAACAATCCACGACACACGACACAAGCGTCGCCGAGGAGAAGGACGCGGTCGAAGCTGCAATCCCGTCCACTCCAACGAAGAAGAAGATAGTGGAATGCCACGCTGGACATCTACCACTATACTGTCGTAACTCGTTGTTACCACCCATGATTCAGTTCGGTCAGAAAGTCTAATTTTAGTGCGTGGCCTATTCTAGTGTGACGAAAACGACAGTCATAGTGACGATGGAGGGACGGGATCCCGCCTCGTCTGCGTCTCCCATGTTGTAGCCGATGATCGTATCTTCCTCTCGCACGCAATACCACCATACAAGCTATCCCCCACGCTTACAATGCAGTGCGCTTGAAGGAAATCAACCGCTTGCCATCTCTTGAAATCCCGTGTTCTCCATCTCTAGTGCTCATTCTCTTCCTTGTTTACATGTCAATATTTAATTTTTCCTTGCGATGAACCCTGCCCTCAATCTCCTCTACCCTCCTCGCCAGTTCCATCGCTTCTCTCCTGTCTCCTGCGCCATGACTCCCCCTTTCCCCTCCAAACCCCTTGTTGATAAAGTTGTGATCGTCGGTGGCGGCCTCGGCGGTCTCTCTGCTGCCATCCAGCTCCGTAATGTTGGAATTGATGCCCAGGTAAGTTCATTCCGTTGTTTCAACACTATCTACCAATATAGAGTGATGCTCAAAGCAGTCGAACAAGTTCATCCAACAAAATTAAGTGCAATTTCGACGCATGTTGTGGTATGTCAGGTGTACGAAAGAGGGGGCAGACTTACTGGCGGTGAGGGAACGCTGATCTCCTTGTTTCCTAATGGGTGCAAGTGTCTTAACCAAGGAGATCCAAACGTTGTACAGAAGGTGGTGTTCCTTCATACCTGGTTTTGCAACACGAAAACTATTTCGCCCATCATTTGTTGAATGTGATAGCAGCTGCATGTACCTTTTTGTTTGGGCCAATCGTAATAAACTCCAACCTCCAGTTTCATCGAAATTGCTCAGTATAGAGGAATTTTATGTTCTGATTTTGTGAGCTGTCTCACATAATCTAGATTCGCGAAGCTGGTCGGTTAGACGCCCCAGCCATGATGATAAACCCATTTACTGGGGATCTACTGGGATCGTGGGAGCTCAGTGAACGTATGGAAAAGACATACGGGCAGCCTGTGGTTTCCGTTCTTTGGCGCCATGCCCTTGGTATTCTGTCAGATGCTTTACCCGATGAGTGCAAGCACTTCGGCCATGAATGTCAGGACGTGACTCAGGTTTTAGGCTCTTATCACAATTTCTTGTTTGTCATCTGTATACGAAAAGCACAAAAATTATCAGTTTACGTAGTCGCAACACCTTCCATCATTTCTAAAATTCATCTCATTGTTTGTAATCTGCCAACTTCATGACTCACGCAGGATGACGAAGGGGCCACGGTTCACTTCAAGAAAGACGATAAAACAGTTTTAGTCAAGGTATGCAGCACTTGGTGGCTACTGATTTTATATTGACTTCAGTTCCAGTTCCAGTTGACGTGGGTTCTTTGGCCGTACCTACTTCTATTCTTGTAGACAGGCTAAGCTTCCTGGTCACCGTTTTGTTTATCAGTCTATCGCTTTGTGTTAAATATTATTTCTGAAGTTTCCCAATGTCAAGGAAATGTTAAACCTTTTGTAATAATTCGTTTTTATCATGGATTTAGATTGCTTATGTCTTTGCCAAATTTCTGTACCTTTTTGGTGAAATTTGAGCATTTAATGATATAGCGTAATTTGTATTGTATAAAAAGGCTCCACTAGTGATCGGTGCCGATGGTATACGATCAGTTATTCGTTCAAAAACCTTTGGTGATATGACTCCTCGCGATAACGGACGTACGATGTGGCGCGCTGTGATTGATGCAAAATTGTGTAATCACCCGGTAAGCTTCTCATTCCACTTGCTTAATTAATGAATAGAAGAGGCATCATATGTTTAGTTCTTATACATCGAAAGTGACATTCTGGCATGTCCCTCCTATGGTATAGTCGTCACATACTACGTTTCTTAAAGTTTCAATGATTGGATATGGTGTATTGGTATGTTTTACATTGTATACTGGATTGAGTCGAGTTTCTTGAATTGGAATTTTAGTTCCTCTTTTTTACTATTCACAAGAGATAGTCTATTGAGATTGTGGTCAATTTCTTTAGGAAAGTGTTCTCATCGTGCTGATGTTAAGTTGTAACTGTATATGTAGGCCTTAAGAGTGGGCACAACTACTGCAGCTCAGAATGGAAGGACAATTTTTGTCGTCAATGGTGTTGGTGATAAACTCTATTGGGCATATAGCTTGACTGATGAGGCTACAGATGGACGAGCCCAAGTGAGATCAAAAACCTTAGAAGAGGCAAAACAAAGATTGAGACAAGAATTCCAGGGCTGGGATCTTGCTCTTCATATATTAGAGGTTGGACTTCTTGCTTCTGTACTTTTCAGTATCACATGTGGTCGTCTTCAATTCGTTATATTCCCCCTGAAGAGTATCTGACAGCATCCTACCATTACCATAAAATGTTGTTGAATAGCTTTGTTGCAATCTTCCTTGAATTGTTCCTTGTTGTTAGAATGTAGATGAAGTTAATCAAATAAATTATCAAATACTGTAGGCGACAGATCCTGAGTTGATTCTGGAGCGAAGGGTATTGGATCTTCCTGTGCTGACGAAATGGACTTTCGGCCGAGTTGCTGTCCTTGGAGGTACGTATAAGGAAGTTGACTTGACTTCATTGTTTTATATCAGCATTGTAGTGGTAATGAAACGTACCGGTCCTGTTCGTCGGATTGAATATTTTCTTAGATGCTTCACCTTAAGCACCGATTTCTGAACATTCAACTCATAAACGACAGAAGTCTAGTCTTATAAAGCAACAAATAAGTCACCTTTACGAGGTAGGCATTATTAACAAAACGATCGTACCAGCTACCTAGAGCAGCATGCATCGTTACAGAAACTATCCAGCCGTCGTCCTGATGGCTTAGACAATATCAAGTGCCGAGTTAGAGCTTCTCTGGGAATTATGGTAAATTTTTTAGCTTGTAAACAAACAATATTTTTGCAGACGCTGCACATGCTGTAACGCCGGCTTTGGGACAAGGGGCCAATCTGGCGTTTGAGGATGGTTTGGAACTCGCTATTCAACTTTCATCAGCTTCAGATTTGAGGTCTCTTCTTCACATAGCTGTGATAAACATGTTGCATGAATAAGCTGATTCGCTCTGTTATTTCTTTTATATTTGGTCCCATTCTTTAATGTGTTGTGACGATTCCAATTTATCGAAATTTCCAAGTGTCTCCTCGAGGATGGTAGATTTATCTCCTATATGGGAAAGGTGCTGAATTTTTCTATGGATGTGAAGCAGAGTACTTGAAAAGCAACAAACTACATCGTTATAATACCTCGTTTTCATTTGTTTTTGAACAGCTCTGCGTTAAAAGCATACGAGCATCGACGTATACCACGTGCACAGATTGTATCTGCGAAAACTCAGGCAACTGGCGCTGCACATCCTCAAAGTTTCTATGACTGGCTGTACAAAGAAATACCATCATACTCTCGGGATCCAGTTTTACATGACTGATTTTGAGATAGGCGAGGAAGCTTATGATCGTGAAATGTCTACATGTCCATTGCTTTGTAAGAATTATTTTAAATGTGTAGTGGATGTATCTATTAGCGAGGTTGATTGATTCTGAGCAGGTTTGTAAAGTTGATATGGAATGTGCCATCATGTATTGTTATGCTACATTTAACAAGGCTACAAGATATTCTTTGAGAGAGTATCATGAAACAATGAAGTCTTGCTATGGAATCAAGGCTACTTCACGAGAAACAAGTGCACGTCCAGCAACGAGTGTCGCTGCATAATTGAGCCATACCAAGGCCCATCCCATGCCGAGGAATATCCCCTCCCTCCTGCCTCACAACTCTGTCATTGTGCCTTTCAAGCTTTTTCTGATTACCTGCAGATATAACTTTCTGATGTTGTCCTCAATTTTTGATATATTTAATTCTTGGAGACTGTTGTATGTATATTAGGAAAGTATCCAGATTTTGAATGAGAAATTTAATGTGGGTAAATTCGATTTCAATTTCAGATTTCATTAGCATTAGAGAGAGTGAGATTGATGCAATATTACTTCAACCTTGAGTTAAAGGGAGGGTAATTTTGAAAAAGCCTATGATGACATATGTGAACCAAATAATTTAAATTCATGTTAACATTCGTAGACAATTTAACATAGTTAAGTTAGTGGTTATTCTCTCAAAACAGCTTATCTGTTAACCGAAATTCAAGGTGCCGCACTCTAAATACAACCAAAAATGAAAAAGTTGATGTTGATATTAGATTAATTTTATACATCTTAAAAATCAACATCTAAATTATTTATCTGTAGAATTACAAAGATGGTTAGTTTAGTTGGACAAGATACTTTAACACAAGAACATTTATATATCATTGAAAAATATATGTATTTATCACATATAAAAGATAATTTCTAGTATGCAAGTTTCAGTGGTAATAAATTCAACTTACGAAATTTATTCTAAAATTAAACTTTTCTAAAAGTAGTTTTGGATTTAAAGTAATGCAACACTGTCGCCACAAGTATTACACTTTCATTAACATTTTTCACAGAAAAGAATAGATTCCGTGACTTTGGGTAAATGCTTTAAAAAGAAAAATCAACAAAAAAAAAATTAGACAATTGTTCTGCTATTTATGAAATATTCCAATTCGTGAATGGCAATAAAAAAATATATAATTGAATGCATAAAAATATACGAAAAAAGAAGGTGTAAAAATATATTATGGTTGAAATAATCACAATAATATTTATGAAATTATATATATATATATATATATATATATATATGTTTAATATATACATTTTAATATATTAAAAAAACAAATTGAAAAACTACAGATTAATGATATAATTCAAAGAAGTGGTAATTTGAATAAATCGGTAGCTACAATGAAAGGTGATCATTCTCTTTTGCTTAAAAATTTTATTTGAAAAATACAATTCAGAATTTATTTTCTGCATATTAATACTTAAATTAAAATTATTATCTTCAGTTTTAAATTTTAAATTTATTTTTTTTATAAATAGAATACTTTCGATTTCTAAAATCTAGCCTTGATATATATATATATATATATATATATATTAATATGTATACACATAAGCATTTGATGTCAATTTTTTTTAATTTATTAATATATCAATATTCAAAGATTTGTGGGTATATTGATTAAATTTAAGTATATTTAAAAATTGTGAATATGGAATATTTTATTTATATGGAATATAAATTGTGAATATAGAATATGAAATATTTTGTGAGAAGTTATATGATTGTAATTAGATTAAGTAAGGGTAATAAAAATTGATATTACAGGTTGGAATTTATTTTGATAAAATGTAGGAATCCGTGAATTTTTGTGTATCGATGTGAAAATAAAAAGTAGGGAAAAGAGAGCACGAAGCTTGCAACAGGAAGCTATGGAAGGCAGACCATCAAGAAGTAGAAAGAAGAGAGAGAGAGAGAGAGAGAGAGAGAAAGAGTAGGTCGGAAACAGCGATGAAAACGGCACACGAATGAGGGTGTTGATGATGTGGATGGAGATGAGGGTGGGGGGATAATATCATCTTGGAAGGGAGGGGGCACCTGCAAGGGGGTGGAACGGAATAATACCATCTTGGAAGGCAGGCGTTCAGGCAAGGGTGGACGGAATGGGGGCACGTGCTGCCCTGCCCTGCCCTGGCCTCGCCCTCCCTGTGAGGCGTGATTGGGGTTCCCGGTTGAAGGAGTTGATGATCGTCGTCGTCCAGCGAAGCCACCGTCTGTCCGTCCCACGGGGGGGGGGGATGAGCTGACGTGGCCCAGAACCATTCGACGTCGCCCTTAAGCGTCACCCCCCACACTTCTGCCTTTCTCCGATGGCTGATGGTTTTCTACAGTTAGCTGATGCCCGCCTGGTGCTCCTCTTATCGTCTTTGCGGAGGTGGTTTTCGGGTTTAGGTGCAGGTGGTGTTGATCCTGGGCCGTGTGCTGGATTGTGGCTGCGTCGTGGCCTGGTGCTAAGTGGGGATTATGGCTAGAGCTGCAGGCATTGGAGTAGCGGCGGGGGTATCGACCTCGGCGGCTCTCGCGTCGTTGCTTGTTCCGTCTGTTGCGTCTCACTCCCTTGATGGCAGCGTTCAGAGAGCGCAGCTTCGGCCGCTTCACTTGCGGTTTCTTCTGTCGGCCAATTGTTGTTTGTCTCGGCAGAGAATGTCGAAATTGCAGAGTTTCGCTCCATCGGGTCTCTATAGCCCCTCTGATTCGCCGGCGTATCTGAATTCTGCTCTTTCTCGGACTTCGGGGCCTTTACAATTAGGTCTGTCATTTTCGCAAGGATCGGCTCGGCCTGAAATTAATCGGCAGGTGTGTGGAGCTGCGAGGGGCATGGCAGCAGGTTCGGGGAGCGACCTGGAATTATGGATCAAGAAGAAGAATTCCTCTGAACCTGTGGTCGTATATTCCAAAACTTATTGCCCGTACGTCTTGTCTATGCTCTATCCACCTAATTCAATGCACGCGGGAGTGAACTATTTTTTACTTGATTCTTTGATTTTCATAGCCAATGATAGTAGTCACTGGTATATTTTTTCATATTACAACTCTATTCTACATTTCCGGGGAAGGGATTGGTTCTGCAAAAATGTGTACAGAGAAGTATATGAGTGAACTAGCTGAGTTAACATCTTCTGAGTTTGAGTGAATTCTCTAAGTAACATCCAGTACTTTAAGCTCGCTATTCTTGTCTCGAACTCTTGTTGCAATTGATGTCGTTGCGAGTTTCGAATCTTTCTCAGCAGCATGCATTATAAATTAGTTGTATATGAACATGAAAATGGAATCCTTGAACTTGAGACGGGCTGAAGAATTTTGTGCTACACACGATAATGAGGATTTCAAATTCAGATGGTCTCTCAAGCATCTCTGAAACTTTAGTAAATTCTACTGTCATCAACGTTTTGGTTGTGGAGAGTAAAAAATGAGCACAAGTTCTTTATTAATTTTACCTTGTATTGCATGTTGTCCTATGACCTTTTTAGTTATTTTATTTGGCAATATCTGCTTTCCAATGTTCAGTGCTCATTGCCAATCAGGATACTGTTGAATCTTTATGTATTTTTGCAAGGTTATGGTTTCTGGTCTGTTGCTAATGCTCCCGCGCAAGTACAGGTATTGCATGCGCGTGAAGAAGCTTTTTAGCACTCTGGGCTACGATTTTGAAGTAATTGAACTTGATGCAGGCGGTAAGCGACTAACAGAAATTTGATCAAAGAGGCAGTTTATAAGTTCAGATAAGAGCAATACTTATCCGACAATACTTGCTCTTATCTGAACGACTAGTTGTTTTCTTAGCGTGTAATTTCAGTGTAGAGATGTCGTGACTCTTCCACATGGACGCATGAGTTTCTGATTTTCAACTCCGTTATGCTGCAAACTCCTAAAAATCCTATTTGCAGTTCTCAGATACTTGTGCGTGACTTAAGCGTTTACTAGTGTTGCCCCTTCGGTCATATATTTATTGTTCCTGCAATCAGATTTAAACTAATATAAAATAAGGGATCTTCCATGCGAATGTGGTTTGTTTCAGGGCAACTTGGTTTACAAGATGCGTTGGAGCGAGTTAGTGGGCAATACACTGTTCCGAACGTTTTCATTGGTAAGACGCAAGATTAGTTGCAGAAGCATTCATGCATTTTCTTGCATAGTTCAAATTGTATCATTAGGTTTGAAGTGCCGTTTAGCGTGAGCTCAGTATTTGAATAAACTCCCAAAGGCTCGAGACACAACTAGTCGTTCAGATAAGAGCAAGTATTGTCGGAAAAGACTTCTGCCTTGCAATTTTGGTTTACGTTGGAAATGTTCTGTTAAGTTTTTCTTCCAGGAAGAAATAACAATATTTTGCAATGATTAGAGCTATCTTCTATCACCAGGTTCCATTATAATCATAAGAGTTATGATAGAAAATTTCTGTGACTTCACTGACTGTACTTTCATTGCTTGCGAATGGTTATTCCTTATGTATTTTGTTGATGGTTATGGTGATTTATCGTTGCTTCTCCTCATATAATATTCTCACCTAATAAACGCTGTGTCTTGGCAGGTGGGAAACATATTGGTGGCTGTGATGGTAATTTTTTATTCGGTTTTTGAGCTTTAGTTATCTTTTTTGTAATACCTTTGGTACTTCGCAGCCTTTTTTGATTTGGTACCGTGTGCGCAATTATGACCTTTTTTGTTGTCGATGCTTGGAGCCTGCCGATATGGTCGTTGCTTATGTTTTTGGCGCTTCCGTCTGTTGAATTAAGCGCCGTGATTTTGTTGTTAGGGAAGACTTCTGGCACTAATAAACATCACTTGCTGCAGACACGGTGGCCTTGCATTCTAAAGGCCAGCTGGAGCCCTTGCTTCAGGCAGCTGGTGCAAACAGGAGTTGACAGGTGGATTATTTTTGGCGGTTTTTCTTTTTGGAACTGTGAGTCTTCGGTGAATACGTTTTCGTATGCCATCACATACGGAACTATTATTCAAGAAGCTTGGAAGGGTGTCATAATTCTCCTTTGTGTGCGCCTTTACTCTCGGTGCGACGAGTTAATTAGCTGTCCATATACCTGAGTCCTCATTTCATGTTATTCATCCGATATGTATCATCTTGTCCGTTATTATTCCTTTTTTGTGCTGATGGATTAATTTTCTTATTTTATTTCGTATGCTTCTTCAGATTTGTATTGTTTAGAACTGACACAGTTCAGAATGACATATACTGTAGAATCTACAGTCAAAGATGATTTTCCTTTCTTATTTTTTAGAGTCGCTGAACAGTGGGTTCTTGTATGCTATAGTAGGACGTCTTAGTTGTGTAGATGTCGTTTCCAGGTCAAGGAAATTCAGTAAATCTGAGGAAGAACTTTTGGCATTTATGTTCTAAAAAAGGGAAGAGCATGAACTTGTTAGCTCAATGATCACATTACTTGAATCTTTTATGCTTTACTCGGTTTCCTATGCTTCTTATTTAGTCAGGCAAAGGTGAGGAATTTCCGCGTGTAGTATATACAAAACTTGACTCGGCAGTTCTGTAAGTTCTCGTGAGACTTCTCTAACCTCGAGGAACTGAGGAGCTGAAAACAAAGTGTGTTTCACCTTCTTATGGCTACATTTCCCTTAGGTTACTATTCCAAATTTTCCTTCGTACATTACGATCACAACGAAATCTCTGCTAGAAGTCCGAACACACGACAAGATATTTAAAGATCTGTAAAATCGTAAGGATTTGTTGACAGGTGGGTTTCGGAACTCACGTAGTCTTCTTAATCTAATTCAGATTTCCGAGGTGAAAATTGATACTAAGTTTCAAATTCTGATGGCTTATGTCGAATAAGAAAATTCCTCAATATAATATAGCTAACGAAATGCAATTTTACAGCATAAACATAAAATTATTGTACTCGTGAAATATGTAGGTATTATTCTCTCATCATTTCTCTAATGATAGAACTGAACCGGAATGATCATATAATCTAATTTGTGAATATATTATAATCTGTCATGTTCTCTACTTGCATGTGCACGCAAGGATCAATCAGCTGCAGCACTGGGTTGGCTTCGTGATTTGGTGGTCAGAGGTTGAACATAACTTTGATAGCATTGCCTCCGTTGGCACTCATTTCAAAGGCATCTTTGATGTCTTGCTCTGTGAACTTGTATCTGTTTGTGATGAGGGGTTTCACGTCCACTCGACCACTGCTTATTAAATCCAAGCACACCGGATATGTGTTACGGTACCGAAAAACACCCAAAATGTCCACCTCCCTGCAAAGCCGCATTAAGTCAGTCTTATACATTCACACATGGATGCGAATGAAACCAAATCATTGTATATGCCTCCGAGAGAATCCTAAATAGACATGTCCCAAGCCGTCGATTGTGGATCAATTCCCAACAAAGCTTAAAAGTTGTGCAGATGGATGGAATTGGTTACCGGGAAATTGCAGGGGTGATTGGCAACGACATCGTTGTCTCTCGCATGCCCACTGCGCAGACACGGCCAGCTGAACGAGTTACTTCCAAGCATGTGGTCAAGCTTTTTGTCGTTCCGACGCAGTCACACGATACATCTATCGGTCCACCCATTTTCTTCTTTATTTCTTCAATTTCCTTCATCATGTCCTGCTCATCACGTATCCCAGAGAAAATACTGTATTAGACCGTAACTAAGTGAGTGTAGCAAGGACACTGGAGATCCTGCTACTGCCAGTTCCAATAGCTCACACGTGGGATTTGTTAGAAACTCTACCTCTTCCTTTTTCGATACTAGCACGGTTTCATCGGCGCCCATTTCCATGGCCGATGATAATCGTTCCGCATGAGTATCTGCAACAATGATCCGGGGACTTCCAAATGCTCTGGCTACGAGCAATGTGACCAAACCAATGGCACCGCCACCGATTATTAAAACACGGGTTTCAGGGCCAATATTTGCACGGCGACAAGTATGAACTCCAACACTCAAAGGCTCACACATCGCACCCTCTTCTAATGACACCTTCTCTGGAAGCTTGAAGCATAATTCTGCTGGATGCACTACCTGATCGGCCAGGGAACCATGCACCGGAGGTGTTGCGAAGAATGACATCTCTGGGCAAAGATTGTAAAGCCCTTCCCTGCAAAATGAGCACTTCCAGCAAGGAATACCTGGCTCTAGTGCAACACGGTCTCCGGGAACCAAGTGATTCACGTCTTTTCCAACTTCTTCTACAACTCCAGCACTTTCATGGCCGATTACCATGGGCTTTTTCACCTCATAGGCTCCTATTTTCAAATGCTGATACCACAAAATCCTCATAATGTTACCATCCAAGTTTCGCTGGACTTGCAACATCAATCCATGCTATTAAATAGACCACAAAAAATTACTGCTTCCGAGTGGAGAAGTCCATTCTTTACCTTGAGATAATGGACATCACTACCACAGATGCCAACCGCCTTGATGCGCACTCTCACTTGCTGAGGACCTGTAGAATGCAGTTTTCTTCATTACCGAATAATTCCTTCCACTTGATCAATTCTCTATTCAGCTCTAGGATGCACACACAAGGAGGAACATATACCTAAAGATTCTGGCAGCTTGTACGGTTCAAGCCTCAAATCGTTTACGCCGCAGATGTAAGCACCTCGATTAACCTGCTCCGCGGTGGAACTCTTGTGATCCTTACTCGTGCTCATCCTTGGTGTCATTTTGATGTATTAGCTCTGTCTGATCCTACATATAATGAAGAATTTTGAGAACATTCCAACACTTTCAAACGATGACCAAAAACATTGAGATTACCTCAATCAGTCCAGAAGGACTAGAGGATTAAGTATGATGAATCAATGCTAATCTATCACAGTGGCATCTATGTCACATCACAAACTGGCGTATCCTTGAGTTTTGATAGTGAAGGATCGGTCATTACAATTTGCAGATGATCTATATTAAATGAAGTGAAACTGAACTTCAACAGCAATGTTGGCTGGCTATTCAACCACACCGATAAACCGGGGGCATGATGTAGGGATTCGGCGCTAAGAAGCCAGGAAGTCGGCAAGGAACTTAACTGGACTACTGCAGTCACAACTGATAATTGCTGTACCTATCTCACATCGAATCCTCCATTCGATGTGAGGATTATCTATGTGGTGTCAGTAAACCTATCGAACAAGCATCTTCACTAGTGCAGAGATGAAACATTATCGGACCATTACTAACTGATGTATACATCAAATTAAGCTTGCAGAATAATAAGACGTCTAAAAAGTGGCACAGATGAGCCGGAAAAATCACACCATGAAGCAAAAACAAGTTTTTTTTACCGCCTCACCTCCAGAAGAGCTCCGTGTCCACTCTCTAAAACTGGCGAATTATGCACTCAAGCTGCAACACGGGTGATGAGAAGATGGCGAGAATTTGTTTCAGAACTCACCTAGACATGCTCTCGTATTAATACTTGCAGTTTGCAACCGGGAGACTGAAGCAGTGGGAGAACGTACCATCCATGTGGGGGGATCGGATCGATAGGCAGGGGTAGCTGAGGGGGAGGTGCATGATGAAGGCAGGATGAAGGCATTGCCCCAGTCATGCAGTGGGAAGGTAGGCAGGGGTACATGGACGGAGTGGGGGGGGGGGGGGGGACGAGGAGGAGGAGCCTTGACGAGAGAATACTTTGGCAGGCTGCATGCGGAGGTGGCAGCCAAGTGTTGCTGATGTGGCAAGGCGATGCAGATGGCACCTGGTTTCTCTTTGCCGTCGTACTGGGGACCGCTTCACGGTGTCCGGCGCCTGGAAACACGCCCGTCACCTGCTCGCAACCCACCTCATGAAAGCGGGTCATGCACGGTTGGCGGGCGTCGGGAACCATTACCTGCCAAAGTTACATCCAACATTGTGCCCATTGTTGGCACCAGCAGGCCGGGCTCGTGGAGGCAGTTGCAACGGTATGGATGGATGAATATGTGCCTTGATAAAGTTCGTAAAAGAGATGGATGAATCGTTGGGAACACTTGGCCTTTCACTCTGTAGGAAAGCAGTTTTTACATCCATGTGACACAATTTTCAATTCTTTTAAGCTGCTATTGATATCATGGCTCTAATGGTTGCCCATTTTTCTACTCATGCAAAAGTTTCTTCATAGTCAATTCCTTCCTTTAGTTCATAGCCTCTTGCCATTAGTTTAACTTTGTATTTTTGTAGTGATCTATTAATATTTAATTTAGTCTTAAAAATCCATTTTTTATATATCGTAGATTTCTTTCAAAGAAGATATGTTAGATTCTATGTTTTATTTTTGTAAATAGATTTCATTTCTTCTTGCATAGCTTACATTCATCCTTGATATTTTTGTCATAGATAAATGCCATCTTCTCATCTAAAAGTGGATAATAATTAAGAGTTTAAGGTAGAAGAAGTTTTAGATTCAAAGTGGTATTAAAATAGGTTGGAATATCTTGTTCATTCGAGCAGATATGATATTAGTAAACATATATAGGAGTGAACAAAGAATCTTACAAATATAGTAAACGACATTGAAGCTTTTTATTGATGATATCCATCAAAATTAAGATAAAAAATAGCAAGTTTGATGAAAGATGATGACCACCCCTCATTGAACTCGTCTTTAGAAAGAAAGATAATATCATAGATGTACATATTTATTCCAATAATTACTTATATGATTAAGCAGAAGTAGATAAAAATAAATTAATTTCATAATATCTTTTAGAAAGCTTCTTAGAACTTCATAGACGTGGTTTTAATTTTACATGTGTTTGTAGTTGCTTAATAAGTTAGAAACTTAGTCAACAAGTTAACCACATGTGACATGTATTAATAGTTTGTAGAAAAAGCTAACTATGTGGTGCACATTTAAAAACTTCTTTTGCAAAATAAAATACACAGTTTGCAAAGTCAACACATATTGAAAGTCATATAGAACATTATCATATAGCTCCTAGTTAGATAGTATATATAGAGGCAAAAGTAAAGCCTTCTTCATTTTTGTCAATGTTTTTTTAGTTCTTAGTCTTGTTTCAAAACTTCTTAGTTTTTTTGTCTTTAGCAATAGCCATTTTAATTTAATATTATATTATATTTAAGTGATTATTTTGCAATATCTTATGTCAAAGAATTAATAATCATTCCAAGCAATGACAAGAAATATATTTCAATTAATACTATTATATCAATCAAATAATCTTTTTCAGCTTTATAGCCAAAACAATTCCTCATAGTTTTCTTTTGACTTACAAATATGTATGTTGATAAATACTTAAAATTTTAGCTCCAAATCAAATTAATTTTTTTTTTTATATTTAAATTATCTTGATTAATAATCTATCTAATAGAAATTAGATTAATATCTATAATAAGTATTATTTATCTATTATATTTATAATTAATTCTTCTTAAATAGAAAGTATTAATAGTAATATCTTTGACTTTTACATTGCTTCAATATATTTTTTTTTATTTAAATTGTTAAGTTTTATATAATAATTTATGTAATAGATTTGTTATATAAGAATAATAAAGAATATATACATGATAAAATACACAATCTCCTAAATACTTATGTAATTTTGTTAAAGAGTCATACATATCTTTCATCCTTTCAATTACATCAACCTTACTTGGATCTAATTTTCTCGCATAAAATCTATATAAATATCCAATAATAACAACTTCTTGTACTTCAAATGTAAATTTTTTATCCAAAAGTGTAAGATAAATTTCTTTAAGTTGAATTAAAATCTTTTCATAATCTTGTATATGATCAAAAATTTACTTACAATACTCCTTCTTATCTTAAGTTGCATCTTTTTTTCCTTCTTTACATCCTTTGATAAGAACATCATTTAGAAAAGATATAGTTTTTTCAAGAATAAAATCTCTCAATACCTTATTCATCCTATTCATCATATGTGTAATTGAATTTGTAGCACCTTGTAAAAAAGTATACATTTTAAGTAGCCCAATAAATATTCATATTGTTATTAAATATCTATTTTCATATACAAGTTGAAATTGATCATAGTCTAAATATAAATCATCTATTGAATAAATTATCCTTCCTACAAATGCTTCTGTAAAATTATCTATTAAAGATCTTATACTTATATTTTTAATAGTTACTACATTTATTAGCTACATATCTTAAATAAAACATAATGATCCATTTTTCTTAGGTACTTTAAACTAATGATTAGAATATGGAACAAAAAAAGGCTCCAAAATCTTTATTTACATCTTTCTTTCAATAATTCTATTAATTTAGGCAAGTATGTCTATGGCATAGAAATTAGTTTTAAGTTCTAAGATACCTATGGTATTATGAAGTTAACGATAGAAATAATAATATTAGAATTCACACATTTTGTTTCATGATTTCTAAAGGTAAATGATTTATCATATTTTATAAGTATTTCTTTAAAATATTCAATTTCTATTGATAACAAAGAACCATCACATCCAATCTTCAATTCTTCAAAAGTCTCTTTTATAAATTGATGTCTAATATTCTTTAAATCTCTTAAATTTTGTTCCTTTGATGCTTCTTATATTTATTGTATAAAATATTCTAATGAAAGTCTATCAATAAGTTTTACATTCTTTTTTATTGTTTTATATTTTATCTCTATAATAACTTTTGGTGCTTAAAAAGATTCATATATAGAATAAATCTTCCTTGAATAAATTTCTACAATCTTATTATCATTTCTTAATCCAATAGATGTAATTAACTTCAAAAAATCTTTCCATCTATTTTTTTTATATAAATACTTAAAACCCTCTCATCATCATCTAATATTTTTAATATACATAATTTTTTTTCAACATCATATATTTTATTTTATTTTGTTTATTTATTTATTTTTAAATATTCAACTTTTTTATATATAATATTTCTATTCTCAAAAAGACTAATAGAACTTGCATCAAATGCATCTACATCTTATAAGAGTATCTCTCTTTTTGTACTTTTATAATCTTACTTTACAGTGGTACTTCTCCAAAATCCTTAAATTTTTCAACAAATCTTGGTAATGGCTTCTTCTTCAACATGTCTCAATTTTATTCATATTTAGGAGGCACAATTAGAAATTATATTGCTTTTCTTCCATCTTTACTACATATTCATGCAAAGGCTGAATCATCATTAAATACTTTTGTTTCTATCCATTTTTGTGTTGTAATTCAGCTACTATGTGAAAATAATATACATAAATATTAAATATACAATTTATTATATAATGTGATAAGAGCCTATGAGTCCCACCAATGCATCTTAATTGGTGGATTGATTAAAAACATATTTTTAAATCATTTTATTATACAAATATTAAGGTTAGAGAATTTTTTTGACTATTTAATTATTTATTAGAATTTAAAAGGAATTTATAAGTTATAAAAGTCTCATTAAAAGAAAAATCATAAAAATAGACTTTTAGTAAGTCTTTGAAGTAATTATTTTTATTAATTTAGTATTTTTACTTATTATTAAGTATTAAGGATTAGTTATTCAAACCATTGTCTTCATTAGCCTCCTATCTATATCTACTACTTATAAAAATCCTATCAATGATTAATTAGTAGTTAAAAGAAGCATGAAGAGAACTTCATTTCTTTTTAGTTAATTATATAAAAAATAGAATTTTTAGTAGATGTAAATTTATTTTATTTCTTAAAAATTATTAAGATAGAGAAATATAGCTTGAAATAATTATTATCATTATAAAAATATTATAAAAATTTTAAAAATTTATTTAGAATTTATTTAGAAATTTTTAGCAATTTTTATAGAAGATTTCAAGACCTTAGTAAAATTGAATTTTACCACTTTGGGAGCCATTATGAAGAAATGGAGCAAGATTAGAAGTCCATTGGAGGTTTTTATGCCAATTGGATGTGTTTAAATACCATAGGAAAGTCAAAAATGTGAAAAAAAGAATTTTACTAGTAGAAAATAAGAGGCCCAGCAGGTAGTCTAGTCCTTATAGGAAGGAAAGTGTACAAGTCCTATATGGATTATAGCACCTTAGATATAAGTAGGAAGATAAGACTAAGACCTCAAGGCCTCTTTAGACATCACATATATACTACTTAGAAGCTTTGGTGAGGCTCGAACTCTTAATCTTTCAAGTAAGTTATCTTTGAGATAAAAATCATTCCTTTAACTAATCTATTATTTATATTCTATCTTTAATCTATCATAACTTACTCATAGTAACTTGAATTTATATGTTTTTTATGTCATTAGGAAGATAAATAAAATATCTATCCAAAAATTTATTTTTTATTTTTATATTTTATTAGATAAAAATTTAATAAATAGATTGTGACTAGTTTATAGAGTACAATTGCTTGATTGTACTTGTTTCACTTATTTAGTGTTGTTCTTCTTTTTTTCTTTGTTCTTATTACTTCTACTTTATACCACCAATTATAAGAAACTCTTAATTAAAGCCATATTATAA